ATCAATATACATAAATATACACAAGTGCATGCCGTCTATAAATTTTAAAATAATGAAATTAATGCACAGGAAACAATGGAACAATAAAAACGAACGGATATTTGAGACTTTACATTCGTTTATTTGCAGAGAACTATAACAGGACTTATTTACACTGGTGGTCATGTAATTATACAACTTCAAGCATATTTGGGTAAAATTTCAATTCCAAATAGTCACACGATTCTCGGGATTAAACAAAACTTTGTGAAAAGGGGCCGACGCGTTGGAGTTAAAAGTTATCACGGGGATAGAAACGCGTATGTCACCTCTCGACGTAACATTGAATAAAACAGCAGGTGCAGATGTTAAAACCACGTTTTCGATTAAACGCATTCTCTTGGATTAACTCGAGAATAACTAAGAAAACAAATGGGGAAAAAAAAAAAGAAAAAAGAAAAGAACCGTAAGCGAATGAAAAATAATTATAAATTGAGTATTTTAAAATAAATGAATTTATAAAAATCGTAACGTTTAACGGAGCATAACGTTAATATTTGCACGTTTTAGTAATTTGTCATTTGATAAATTTATATCATTTATATCGAAGAAAATGAAAGTTTAGTTTAAAAATAAAACTAATTACAGATGGAACGAACTAAATAATAAAAGGAACAACATCTAAAATTCACGAGGCAAGATTTTCGATAGCTCGTTTCTATACTTTATATTCCTCAAAGACGAGGTAGCGTGAATCGTTCTGTAAAATAATCGATCTCACGCGAAGACGATGAATATGTACGCGAACGGGTATTAATGCAGCACGGAATTGCCGGGAAAATTATTAGACTCGTTGACGATCGTTCGCCTCATAAGAATCGTAAATTGCTTCGATTTCGCTTGGCTCGTAAATCGAATAAATTATCTCGAAAATGTTTTGCATTTAAACGAACGAGTTTTCAACGTTAACGAAACAACATCAAACTTTTTATTATTTTATTTCTCTATTCAAATATATATATATATAAAAATGTATATTATTTTGTTTAGTGTCGAGTTATCGATATAACCGAAACGAAATATATAAATAATATAATACCTATTTTAATTAATCACTTTTTTTTTTGTTAAACGTAGAATCATTTTAAGTGACGAGTTAAACGTTCGTGATAGATATGAGATTAATCGAATGAAAACGTTGCGCAAACGAACCTGCAAAAAGAACTAACGAGAGATAGACCTGAAGAAATTTAAAAGTGATTATTCAAAGGCTTATCGAGATTAAGGTATGCCAAGGATTTCTCGATCGTTCAAATAGTTATGTTATCTCTAGACGTTTCTCCGAATAACGAATTGCTCTGTATGGAATGGTATTCACAAAAGAGGGGAACACCTAACGCAAAGAAGGAGCGAGTAATTGAAGTTAAAATGGGCAACTTTGCCATGACCTCTTCAGAACTCTCAATTAGTCATCATTTTTAACTTTAACATGGCATATATATGAATATAGTATATATACATATTTATATTATATATATTTGAGATTAGCACGATCCAGATGTCCTTCGGTCGGCTTCAAACTATTTTCTTTTTCTTTTTTTCTTCTTACACGCAACTCGTCTTTTTTCCAATTCTTTTTAAATAAAAAATATAAAAATGTCGTAAAACCATAGATATATATTTAATATTACGATTGCCACAAGAGAAAGATTTAAATCATTGCATTTAATAAAGCAAAGTAAAAACTTTAACACAATGTTAATATACGCAAAAACTCTTATTTCAATTCTGCAGGTACGCGGATATCAAAATCTAACGTTCCCCTTAAGGGATGCGCCAACTTTTGGACTTTCTAGGACTGCAATGTACCTAGTTGCCAACACGTTAACCGACTTTCACGTATATTTTCATGAGTTAAATTCATTTTACTCCGAGAGAACTCGCGATAGTTATGCTATGTTGAATACAAAATTAACATACATTGGTCTAATTGAGATCTGTGAACGAGAGTTATATAAAATGGAATAAAGTACGAACAAATTTCATCAAAAGAAAAGTATTGCTTGCTGAGATTTTATATTAGAAAATAATTTTTCGAAAATTTAATTTCTATTCAATTGGCTGGTAACAACTTCTTTTTCCACGATCTATCTCAAACGTATAATTATTTAAATACGTGAAAGTATAGATAAAATATAACATGATTTGGAATATCATTATTCCAATTCGCATTTGGACAACAATTTCTTTCGCAAGAAAGAAAAATAAAGTAAAAGAAAAAAAAACAAGAAATTAAGAAGGAAACAAATTTCATTCGACCGAGTTCTCGATAAAGGTTTTTTTTTCAACAAAAAAAAGAAACCTCATAAAAAAATATATTTAAAAATGCAAGAATTAAGACGAGTTAACCGGAAGGCCTTTGAACTCTACGGTGGAGTATTCAAAGTTCAATCTATTCTAATAGGCCGCACTTTGGGTTAAACCGCTTCGAGGCAATACCCCAGCTTGCCTACGTCTGCTACGTGCCTTGTTCGAGATGGTGCAATTTACTCACATACGTTTAGTGAACACCGATGTGAGACGAGAAAGTTTAACCAAAACGCGAATAGTTGCGCTTAAGCCCGATCTAAGGAACAATTTGATTGGTCGAATCTAAGTATATATATATATATATGTTAGTTGCGCACGTATAAATCTATATCTATGTATAATAAATATATGCATATACATAAGTGTATATATCCAAATGGATGTTGCAGCCGAACCAGGAGGGCTGGAAGGGAAAGAGGGGAAGAAAGTGACCCAACATGTACAAATAAATTTTAAAAAAAGAATAATACACTTTTTCTTTCTAATTATTTATCGATTACATTAAATTTTCTTATTCATTTTCCTTGGTAATGTTTGTGTTTTTACCTTCGATTTAATTCTTTTACGTTTAGTCTGTTTCTATCGGTCTAACTGCGACAAGCAACAGTAATAATTCGAATCGTCACCCCATTCAGATATTTTGAATTAATTATTAGCCATTGAAATTTGAAGATAATTCCAGTACAAGCATACTCCGTAATATATTTTAATAGGATTTTCTCGAAAATAAGATCTCTAAAAGAGAAAATATATATATGATTCCATTTTTTTTTGTTTCGACTTATTTTAACATGTAAAAATCATCTCCCACTCGGTTGTACCATCCATTAGGATATACCCTGTATATTTAAGTAACACAAACAAGACTTCGGGTCGATAATTAGGTTTTCTTTTTTTTTTGTTTTTTCTTTCTTTCTTCCTTTCTTTCTCACGTCGACGTGACGACCATTTAACCGCGGCGATCTACCTCGGAGCTAAATTATCACGCACGTACGAAACAGTCCGTATGATTAACGAGATTACGCTCAGCGACCGTGGCAAGTTGGTTGGTGAGCAAGTTCTTTCTGACGTTTTCACGACGACGAACACGACCGCAAGGGATGACAAATGAAAAAATAAAAAGAGACGAGAAAAGAAACACAAGGATAGGAAAAAAAATTACAAGAAAAGACAAAAATAAAACAACGGGAGGAGAACAGAAAAATAGGAAAATAAAGAGAAAGATAAAGAGTAATAGAAAGAGAAAGAAAAATAAATTACGAAACGTTTCGTAACTGCGTTATGTTGCATGCTTCTTAAGTAACCGCTTGTTTTAGTAGTTTCGAAAAATGGCATCATGGGATCTCTCTCTCTCTCTCTCTCTCTCTCTCTCTCTCTCTTTCTCTCTCTCTCTCTTTCATGTATTTATCCTTCGGTTGTTTTCACTTTAGTACGAGAGTGAATCTGAAGGAGAAGACACCGTAAGTCAACAAAGTTTGCGATATTCGCTATCATTTTCTTCCCCACCGCATGTTCTCTTACTACCCTGACGATACACTTTTCGAACTTCTAATGCTTTTTTATACGGCAATAGCTTTCAAACTATTGTCCCGCGAGGAACTTCCTTTAGTATCGTTTGTTCATTATACAAAAATTATATAGGATATATCGAGTGTGGATATAACTGAAAATTTAAACTTATATTAAATGAAAAAAGTTAAAAAGTCTTATTTAATTTGACCTAACGATCCTAATTACAAGAAGTTTATTCAACTTTAATTAGAGAAATGTACGATCAAATTTTGTTCCTGTTCTATGTAAATAGATACGCGATATATACGTTAAAGTTTCGTGCATAATTAGGTAGATAATAAAGTTAGGACGTAAGCAATAACATCATAAGCGTGTAAAATAAGAAAACAATTCGTTCAAAGTAAAAATAGAGTCTTAAAGTATATACATATCATATTATATTTAGATATACGCTTTAAGAAACTAACTCCGCATTAAATGTATATGCATGCTAAAGACCTTTCATCCGAGATTGTTGTAGCTTCTTCTTCTTCTTCAAAAAAATGTGAAACCGCCTCTACTTTTATGTTCCCTTACTTCTTTAGCTTTCCTTTCTTTTATTTCTTATCTCTTTTTGCTCGTGGAATAACATTTATCGCGGATATATTACACCGATAACCGGAGGCACCACCTTTCAACGCTCCTTAATCTTTAAAGTAATATGCATTTTTATGATATAAATATGAAATTTACGCGCGTCTGGGTTGCAAACGATATTACCGTGGTCGTTAATATCACACAGGCCACATTATTCGTAGAAAATTTTCTGCCTTAACCGTGGAAGAGAAAGCGAGATGGGAACAGATAAGATCGACCCTTTTACGAAAGTTGATACATAAATCTACGCTAACTTCCAAATGATATATCGTTCGTTTTCCTCTAATCGGCGTGAAATAGATCGTCGCTTCTAACAATCCTAAATTTCTGAGACAAACAAGGTATAAGTTATTAAAACTTCAGAAGCCGAGTTAATGAGGTCACGAACGTAGGAAGATGAGAGAAGTGCCTACCGATCGAGTATGAGACGATCGAGGGTTACAAAGATAATGTAGTTATCTGTTCTTCAATGATTAACGAGTTTCTATATTTATGTGTTTCAGGTCTCGAGGAATACAGGGATACTGTCACACTTCGTCAATCTAAACATAGTGATACCAGAGGCATTTATATTAGGGAGCGGTGAGCATCATGTCGACGTGGGGTCTATCATAAATCTCGTATGCATAATAGAAAAGGTAAGATTATCATCAAACTCTTCCTTTGATCGTATATTCGAGCTTGAGTGTACAATTAGATTAAGACTAACCTTCCTTTTTTCTTTTTCTTCTCTCTTTCTCCATCTCTTTTTCATAACCATCTTCTTACTTTCAAACTTATAATATAAACTAGATACACATAAGTATACCAACCATGATTCTTTAATATTCGTAACAACGATTAACAAGCAAACACGCTCACCGCAGCTTGTTACTAATTACCGGCCATTTCATTCATCGTGCATTTAATCCCCTCGAGAATATTAAGCTGTTTGCACACGAGATTAGAATACGACTAGAACGATTCTCACACATTGTTGCGATTTTATTTGTTCGCGAAAATAAACGTACATAGTAGTCGTGCTTTCAAATTCCCCTTTCGTCCGTGTGTGCACTGTGTTAATAATAATGACCGACACGATTAAATCTTATCGATCATTCGACAAGGCTGAATAGTTTAAAAGTTTCGCTAATCGTTTTGATTACACTAGAAAAAAATATCGAGAGAATAAGGATCTTTATGTTAGCTTGGTTATCAATCTTAACATATTTTGCGTTTCGACATTGATTTTTTGTTGATGTTTTTTTTTTTTTTAATTTAGAAACCCAAATCTAATCGAATATAGTAATATATTCATATAATATATATATATATCATACGTTGGACTCGTTAAAATACGAAGAGACATCGAACGAAAACGAGAAAAATTTCAACGAATCTAGAGTGAAAGATTAGGAGGAAGAGGGGGAAGAGGAAAAAAAGGGTATCGCGCGGTTAATAACTCCGACGTTGTTTTTAATATCTGCGTCGAGATCCGTTTTTTTCCTCGTTTCCGAACTTTATTCCGAGCATCGATATCCGCGGGTGTGAGAGAAAATACAGGGAGAATAAAAGGACCGTGAATTTCGATGACGCTGATTCTGTTGTAAATTGACGAGTGCCCGTAGATAACGTTAATTAAACTGATAAATTAAAAGTGTCACTGCACGGTGTAGCGAAAATTGATCACGCTTGTGTGTCCTCCAACATATTCGTTCTATGCATATATATACATACGTTTGTAAGTAAATGTAATGTTCGTATTTAAATATACATAACTATTTATCCGTATATATATGTGTGTGTGTGTATGTGTGTTCTATATCGTATGAAGCAAATATACACAAGGTACGAATACTTACTCTAATATTTATAACAACACACTTTTATGATTTCTCCTTTTAAGGCTCCCTCCCTCCCTCTTACCCTCCTTTAACCATCTCACTATTTTCCTCTTGTCCATCTATTTCTATCTTTCTCTCGTAAACGAACGTACGCTTAATTACATGCGCACGTATTAATAGTTCAACATACTTTGTGGGGTAAAGGTATCAACATTGGTATCGAATAAACACACGTATATATGTATATAAATACGAGTTTCGTATAAGTACACCATAGGAGACAAAAAAAAAATACTACTCGGATAAACTCCGTCGTCTGGAAACGAAAAAAAAAAAAACACAAGAAAAAAAAAGGAGAGAGAGGGAGAGAGAGTGAGGAAGTCTATGGTAGCATTAAAACGATGTCGCTACATGCACCAGCCGGCAAATGAGAACGAATAAAGCGTTGCCTTTTATTGTGAACGCATTTCCTACTCTGCTTCCTCCCTCTCCCTACTCCCTACTCCCTCATTTCAACCCCTCTCTCTCTCTCTCTCTCCGTATCTGAAACTCCATTTTACGTATGTATATATATATTTAATAGAACCGTTTTGCGTTACATATAATGTATATATATACATATAACTATTTAAAACCGTTCTATTAAATTTATATAATTTGTTATTACTATCTCAGTAGTAAAATTAAACGAATCGCAATATAATAACGAAAGGGCTCGATGAACACACTGAAATGAAATAAAAGCATTTTAATATGAATTTTTTATCCTATAGGAAATGATTTAAAAGGGATGAAAAAGTAAGTGAGAAAGAGGGAAGAAAGAGGGTTATATTGTATAAGAATTAGAGTGACTCGAAAAAAGAGGGTGATGTCTGTCGCGAATAGGGGTGAAATAAAAACGATCTAAGTAATAAAATACTGGATGGGCAGAGTTTTTTTGGTTGGTAGTAAAGCTTCTACTTTGCTATACAAGCTAAGAAATTGACTCTCTCTCTCTCTCTCTCACTCTTTCTCTTTTTATCTTTTTTTTATCTGTATATCTAACAATCTATCTCTCCCTCTCTCTCTCTCTCTCTCTTGTACTTAAACGTTCTCTCTGCAATCCTAGTTTCTCGAGGAAGTTCAAGCCTTTTAGTTTCGCTTGGCATACCGGGTACGCTTATATTCTTCTGGAAGACCTCGCTTGATACCCAACGCAACCGTACAATTTTAAGGATAATACGACAAAACGTGCATAGCCGTTCGGCGAACGTTTCGATCGTTTGTAAAGATAAGTTGGTGAGCGGAGTTTTAACCGAGCGATCGTATCGGAATAACCAACTCTCGAACAATTTTATCGAATCTCCAGTGTAATATTTAATTTCTTCTTGGAAATTTAATGAGTTTCCTAGATAGTTACGGCAAAAGCTTTCGTTCATTTTTATTTTTATTTTTATTTTGATTTAGTTATATAATATAAAGATATACGTTTGTATAATTATTAATAACAATTTGATTGAGTTGAAAATTGAATAGTTATATAATATATGTATATGTATATATTTATATATGTGTGATGCATGAAAAACTATACTATTACAAACAAACGAAAATTCTTCATTTAATTTCACGCGCGCAAGACTTTATAACGGCGATTCCGACGTAGCGTAGAATTTGCATATACAATGGAGAATCCCAAGGGACGAGAAGGAGGGCCGAGGAACAATCGATGTGAACGGCCGAGCTTATGCTATCTCTCCCTCGGAGCTTAAACCGCGAAAATTTGGCGCGGTGAATGCATTTTCGAAAATGCCAGTAATCTACTACCGCATACGGAAATTCTGTACGCTCTGATGGCCGCATAAACGCGAAGAACGAACCATGGACGATTCGTTATCCAAACGATTTATACGGGGATACGAAGTACAGTCGTTTGATGTTAACCCTTCACATACAAATTTAATTGAGATATATTTATATAGAAATATATGTCTACGTTATGTCGATAATATAGTATGCATTAAATTTCGGTTAACGTGTTAACGTTCTTTCGAAATTTTGAGTTACGAAAAAAGATAGAAATGTTTTGAACCCAAGTATGATATAAAAACAAAGGGTTGCTGATAAATGTTTGGTACGAACGTGCCGGAGAGAGTCGCTTATCAATTTTGCAATTTATTCGAAACAATTGATGCTCGTGGTACGAAACGATAGCTCTAATTTCCTCTCCCAACCATAAATACCTTCAAATCTATACTTTATTGCCGAGAGGAGGTACAGGAAAAAAGCTATTTAATTAAACGAACGGACGTTGAAAGTGCAGTTATATGAAAAAAAAAAAGAAATGATTAAAGTGTTCCATTATTTTTCCATCTTTCATTTCATAATTATAAAAATATCGTATGAAAAATATATTCGTTTATTGACCAAAAATGCGTTAGTGTCGATATAGATGTTATATAAATTATTAATAAATCGATATGAAATTTCATTTAGAAAGAAAAAATAAATACTTCAGGTCTTCCGTCATCGTCGTAGTTGTCGTCAACTGAGAAAAGTGTCGCAAAACGGTAAGCTCTTAATCCTTTAGCTCGAGTTTTTCGCTTTATCTACGTTTCGTTGGATTTTCTCGCGTCAAGCAATCCGAGAGTTTAATACTTTGAAGCTTGAAATACGCAACGAGTAAGTATTTCCTTCAATCTAACAAAAACAATAAATATACGTAAGGTCAACAACATTAATAAATTAATCTTCAACTAATTTGAGTGAAACAATCGGAGTGTTCTTGCATTGTTAAACGCAAGAAAGAGATATAGAACAAAACATTCATGTCTCTAGAGAGAGGGAGAGAGAAAGAGAGAAAGGAAAAGAAAACACTAGATACACCACCATCCATCCAATAGAATATAATCGCCCGTTGAGGAATTTTATCGGTCAAAAGAAGTTACGTTCAACCGAATCCTAATTGAAAATTCAGATGCAGAAAATTCTTCCTTGGCCTCGAGGAATTGTCTGACCGTTCAAGAAAATAATTTTTCTCGTAAATTCGTTAAACGAGTTTCGCTTTAAATACACGAGTGCTTGGCAGATTAATAGGAACGGGCGGAAGGAAAGAAAAAAAGAGAAAAAAAAGCGTGGAAGAGGAGAAAAGAGACTGAACAACGCGAAACGTTCGTCAATGTCGAAAGTAATAGTACTCGTGTCCGAGACCATTCTCCTTCTTCTATAACTGAAACTGATAACGACTCTCTAACGTCGTTAGAAAATGTACTTCCGACAAAGCCTACCTTTTAATATCCAACCGCTCAAGCTCAAATTCAATATGCCCATTGCTAAAATCACTAGAGTCTCTTTTAAGTCTGACAATGAATACCCTAATCGCTACTTACGTACCGTGTCGATCGTTTCAACAAACGATAGGACTCTTTTGCCTCTTATCGGAGAACAATTTTCAAGATCGTAGAACGTAATATAAAAAATGTAAATTTTCTTTGTAACGAAAAGTAAATCCTTTTAATTTCATTAAAGTCAACAATCAATTTCAAGAAACATATGCTTATAAATATCTGTTTATTTGAAAACGATGAAAGAATACACTCTCCATAAATTAAACATTTTTCATAGATTGTAAAACGTCATAATAACAATGATAAAAAAAAACGCCGAAGAGCAAGGGAACTTGTCTTCTCCGTTTATTAAACTTTAAGCGAGACCAGAGCTGTAGGTATAAAAAAAGAAAAGTATGATTCACGGTACGTAGGTGGATAAAAAGCAAGAGATAAAGAATATTGACGATAGGAAAATGAAATTTATGGAGGATAAAAAGCTTTTTGGCG